AAGTGATTGATTTAATTTTATTTAATCCTTTAAAATACTTTATTCAAGACAAGACTAATATTTTATAACTTCTATTCTAATTCTATTAAGTAAGAGTTTTAAACTTTTATTGTATAAGTGGTTAGTGGGCTAGGCTAGGCAATTTTATTGTTAAAATCAGTGAGAAACTGAAATTACCTAGTTAGTTAAATAGTTAATTAAATTAATGAGTATCAGTATCTTAGATATATGATGATATGAATGTATATGATTCATGATTGTTATAATAATAACTAACTACTAGACTACTGCTAATAACTTACTACTTTACTAACACTAATAATTAAATTACTTATAAATAACTACAGACTGATATTAAAGCCTATATAAGAAAACTGGTAAGACTGATAGCCACTGATTATTCGTCCTTACATTATTATAATATAATATATTAATACAAATTAATTGGTAGAATTACCTCTGCTATTATTTAACTTAAAGATTACATTATAATTATAATCTAACCAAACATTTAAAGTTAATTATATCTATCTCAAATGTTAAACCGAACCAAAGTTAAGTTTACTACCTAAATGTGTAAGAAGCTTTACTGATTTACTGTATAGTGACCAGTGTAAATAATAAAAGTTTCTTAAGTATTTAAAAAAATGTTTTATTTCTTTAAAAACCCCATAAATTACTGGATAGATAGATAGATAACACTTTATTGCACCAAAAATACATCTGCGCTGGATCCGTGCTGGATCCAGCTGGAATGATGTTGATCCAGCAAAAATCCAGCTGGATTGAAAACACTGCTGGATTGCAATCCCTAGTTGAGATATGTAAGTCAAACAAGTACAATTGGTTAAACAAATAAAAACTGTTCAATAATTCATAATTTGATAAAATTAGTTTAATTAGAATTATTCACTGATTTTCCGGAATAGTTACCTAATGCTGGGTATCCATCAATTTTTACCAAAATGCTACCTCACATACAATGTCCCAATTTTTGGTATTGAAATTATGATAGCCCTAATTGTACAACTGTCAATACATAAATATGGCAGGTTAAAACAAAACTAGTCAAGCAACACTGTACATATAAAGATTTGTTTTTCCATCTTAAATACATGACTAGTTTAATTAATTCTTACAGAATAATTATAAATTAAAAATATTTAAATTACAAATTTGAACTATTTTTTTAAACAATTGTTTTATTTTTTCCAAGATGTCTGCAAAAAATGAATTCATTATCTGATCCATATTCAAGTAGCCAGGCATTTTTTTTATATCTATTTGATAAATAATAAATTAATTAACTCAAAAAAAATCACCAAGAAATTGATGAAGATTGGAAAAAAAATTGAAAATCTGAAGAATTTGTAGAAATATAGTAGAAAAATACCTGACTAAAAATAAAACTATTTTCAATATACAATTACAGTAGAGCGTCGATTTTCCGAAAGTCAATCATCCGAAAGAATTCCAGTCGGCAAATTTAAATTTTCGCCAGTGCTGTGGCGCTTCAATCTTTGGCTATGTCTTGGGCTACTCAAATATTTTACGTTTTTGATACTAAATTAACATCTGAAGTATAATTTTTTATTATTTTTATATTTTTCAATATATTTATTTTGTTTGTACAAAATAAAAAAATAATTTTTAACGATACAATAGTCTTTGTTAGGCTTAACATCGACAAAAATTCAACGCGAAGCGACACGCAACGGAGAAAAATTTCAACTTCGGATACGTTAAACTATTTTTTTGTACGTAAATCGGTTATCCGAAATATCAGTTATCCGGACAACCCCAATCCCCAATTGATTCGGAAAATCGACGCTCTACTGTATTAATTTCTATAAATTTCCAAACTGTATAACAATTTTCAAGATTGTAAAAAGCAAACACTTCAAATTTTAATAATATTATATTGGGATTTTATAATAAATTTTTCTAATTATAAGACCATACAATTTATTACAAATTAAATAATGCAATCATTGTTATAAAAGAAAGTATAAGATTATTTCAAAAAGTTAATTCATTCCATATCAAGTTTAGTTAAGTATTGAAAATAGATCATTATTTGTCATACTACTATTGTACTACATAAATTGATTAAAATGATTTTCAAAAAAATGTAATTAATCATTAACATACAATAGTAACATACAATATTAGTAACATACAATATTAAATAGATTAGCTTTGTTTTCACTTAGCACATCTGAATATATAGACTTAAAACCAATCACTAAAGCTTTACATAAATTTAATTATATAAAAAACAAATTAAGAAAGAACTGGATACTTCAATAAAAATTTCGTAACTTAAAATTACTGGAAGCCATAAATATTCAATTTTATCAATTTATAAATTCTACATATTGAAAATTACTTACTACATCTGGTATCATTAACATAATTTTTCCCAAAAATGAAGGTTTTGTTGATATTAATGATTCCTTTGTTTGTAATTTAGTGCCAATATGTAATCTGAAAAATATAATATAAGATGCAAACTTAAAACATATGACATATTATGTGATAAAACTTCATAGAAAAAATGAAAATAATAATACAGAATCACCATCACAAACATCATTTACAATAAATACTATATGAATGATGTTCTAATCATCTTAAAAAAAAATTATGCTTTTCTACAAATCAGGGCTGTGGAGTCGTGTAAAAATCCACTGACTCCAACTCCGACTCTTCCTTACCATCCGACTCCGACCAGGGGTGGACTTGTTATCAAAAGAGACTCGTAAATTCTGATGTCATCACGTGACCTCAGAATAAAAGATTTTATAAATAGAGTTCTAATACAGATAGAACGTAGAAACTTTTTATTCCAAAGCTAAAAGACTTCTCTAAGTAATATATAAATATGTATTTGATAATTTTTACTTTTCCAGCTGTTATATATAACAGAGGAAAAGTGTAGCACTTGGTCAAAAAATGACCCCTCCCAAATTTTTACATTTTTGGACTCAGGACACATTGAAATTTTGAGATATGCAAAAGATTTCAGGTTTTTTTCTATATGTGTGGATGTTAGATTGTGTGGGAGGAGGCATGATTTTATTCACCCTGTTTGAAGTCTAATAATTTCTCTGGTCAAAGTGATCAGAATCGGAGTCAGATGATTTAACACAGGAGTTAGTTATTAAGCGTCAAAGTGGTTGAACTAAATCATGTCCCCATATACATTCTAACATCTTATGTGAGAATATATTAACAGGTTTTACTGTACTATTATAAAATGGCAGAAAAGCTTACTTTAAAGGTAGAGATGAGTTTTATTTTATTTTTTTAAATTTTGAATGCTAATAACAAGTAGAATATTCATTAAGAGATATGACACATGACCACTTTTATGTCTTCACCCTGTCGACCTTTAATTAAGAACCAAAATTTAATAGTATTAATGCCACTTTATAAGCAAGCTATAGTGCCACATTTCGTTTCTTAAACTTTACCCATTCTGAGATATTAAACAATATCTCAGAATGAAAAATAAAGAAATTAAACAAATTAGATGCTAACACACACACATGTGCAAAAAATTTTTCCTCTTTATTGACTTTTTTTAGGTGTTCGAAAGGTCTCCAAACGTGTAGATTTGCAAAAAAAACTTGGAGATTCAAATTTGACATGATTTCAATACTTTTCCATTTTATATACATAACAAGTTGATAAGTAAAAAGGAGTCAGGGTCAACATATTTTTTGATGACTCTGACTCCGGCTAAAACACCAAAACTCCACATCTCCAACTCTGACTCCACAGCCCTGCTACAAATGAACAAGCTAAACATAAACAGCATTAATTTACTTAACCTTAACTTTTCACTAATGGCTAGGTATATCTACATCAAAAACTATCTTAAATCTATTTTTTACATACATGGGCTATTTTTTAAATAAGGTCTGTTTGTGAATGAGAGTGAGAATGACATGCGATTGCAGCAGTGTGCACGAGCATCTGCTTTCAGCATGCTTTGTGTGTGTTTAGATGCCATTTGCAGCCGTATCATCTGTCTGTGTGCTGAGCTGTGAAAGATTATAATGTTCAAGAAAATTGAGTCACCTGCCGACTGTAAGATACGATCTGTTATTCAATTTCAGCACAAAAGATCATGGTAATTGTCTTTTGTGACAGGAAATGGACTTTGTTAGTGGATTTTATGCCAAGAAACACAACAATCAATTCTGATGCTTATTGCGTTACCTTGAGAAAACTCTGCCATGCCATACAAGACAAGCAGCGTGGCCTAATGTCTTCCGGCAGCAGGCGGCAGATTTCTTTGAAGTCAGAATTTTAAAAATTTTTGAGCGGTATGACAAATGTTTGAACAAAAATGGAAATTATGTAGAAAAGTAGATAAAAGTATGTAAAATATGGGAAAAAATATATTTTAACGATATTTACAGTATTTTTCTTATTATCAAAAAACAGACCTTATTTAAAAAATACCCTTCGTATTTTACATCCAAATTTCTTTTGATTCATTTAGCTAAAAACTTTTGTCTTACGATATCCTAGTTAGGCATGCATGCCTACACTCACTTTACAGATTCACAAAGAGTTAAATATAATTATTGGACTAACTCTATAAAATAGCCTCCAACTATGTAACATCCTTTGACTCATTGAAGGAAATTCAACATACCAATAATAATACTACTGGTAACTGTTGTTAGATTTTAGAAAAAGGGTTCTTTTAACTGACAAGGACAAACACAAAAAAAACATGCAAGGAAAAAAAGAAAATAATTTAATTCATGTGATAATACAGTAAAAAAAAAAAAGGGAATTCCAGCTGAAAAGGTTTTGGATTTTGATAGTCACCCAAAATCCAGTCATTGGTAGAACAATAAAAATTTTCACAACTAAAACAAAAAGAAGAAAACCAACAAAGTAATTACAAAAATATTTCTTAACACTAATTTACAACTAGAAGAAAATAGAAAGTAGGGGACAAGAAGTATTAAAATAGCAAATAGGACAGAATAAAAAAGACTACCCAAATTGTTCCATTATCATGAGGGCGTGTGAGCTTTGTAAACACACAATACTGTCTTCTATCTTCCTCTCTCTTGATTCTAGAACGGTTTCTTTTTTTCATCTAGTTGGCTCAAAAAAAAGGGTCACTCATTCTGATTCATCAAACTGAAAATGCCAGCTCTAACACCCTGATTCCATTCCAGGAATTTCAAAGTTCCCACTCTCAGTTACAGTCTTACCTATCTCTCAAGCACCAGAATGTCTCTCTTCTTTTGAGTTCTTCTCTCCCTCGAGCATCCACTCAAAAGTAATCTTTCTTCACTACACATGTCCTCAATAACCTCGAATTCATTGCTGGTAAATTCTGGGAAGTTACCCTCACCTCCAAGAAATAAGAATTAAGAAGTACTAAAGTTCTCAAAAGTGAAAAAAAAAAACAGGGAAAGATGTCAGAAAGACAAAAAAATGCAATATGGCAAAAAGCCACACTGTAAACAAACCACTTTCTTTTTTAATTTCATATCATCCAAATTTTCCAATGCATTGCTAGTAACAATAAGAAATGCATAACATTCCAATGCAACTAAACTATCTACCAATTATGCAACAATAAATTTCCCTAAATGACAAATAAAGTACTAGGATGTGTGTTATTCTAACCAAAAATGAAAAAGCTGGCATCAACACCATCCATGATGGCTATAATTTCAGTCCTCACCCAGAAACTTACTGAAGACAAGGACACTATCAAGAAGAAAAGGTCTGGTACATTTTAATTATTATTTGTTCAACTTCCCAAAACTGAAGTATATTGAAATATAGTCAAAGTCATCAAAAGCATCTCCCACATCAATGTAGTAAAATATGCAAAATATTTAACAAATCCATTAATAGCATATGTCTAAACAGAAAAAACAAGAATGCTCTCCTTCCACCTGAGTTTCTCCATAATCTTTTATACTAAGAGCAGATAGACTACAATATCTGCTCTTAGTATAAAAGATTATGGAGTCAGACATCACAGTCAGATCCCTTCAGCAATTTATCCTACCCCATTTTTCCCATCCCACACTAACATTCTTAATTCTTATGACTTTTATAACTGATGATGGTCCATAAATTGGGTTGAAAACAAATTTCCACAAACAGGTACCCACTATTATAAATGTGTGCTTTAGTAACTAAATCCCAAAACTTCATAATAAATATTGAAATGCAATTTTTATACAAACACATATTTATTTGAAAAATATTTAACTTGATGCACCCTTTTCTTATATTTTCACATACAAAGCAAATATATAACCTACAAAAAAATAATAAATATTAACCAAATATTACATATTTCGCCAACATCAGTTCCATTATAGCTAAAATAAATCCAATTTTTTATCCTTGTAAAGTATTATTTATTACTTTTGTTAAAAGTAAAACCATATGATTATTCAAATAATTAAGTATTTTAATGTGGTATTTTCTAAGACAGTGATGGGCAAACTACGGCCCGCGGGCCAGATGCGGCCCCCTGAAATGTTCTATCCAGCCCGCGCGACATTATTTCTAATCTGACGAGTAAAAAAGAATACAGGCTGTGGTGGTTGATGCACCACTTAACTTGAGTGTTCGTTGATTATATAAAATAACCGAAGCTTTATATCTCACCNATTCGGTTCAATTCCGGACATTAGTAGTAGTAATTGGGTTAATTTTAAATTAATCATTGTAGAAATAAACTCCAAAAAACACAAAAGACAAAATATTCCTCAGTAAAACGAAGTGTTAACAAAAACGCACCAATCTCCCTGACGAACGGAGCGCCCCCTCATTCCCAGCAGGTAATAGTTGTTGTGTATAATTTCAACTTCACCCCACTAGCAGACAGATGCAGGAAGGCTGTGCAGCCCATGATATATATAATGGGTACCAACTGTCCCTATTGAGGATATCAGTATATCAATCAGGGTTATAAGTATTTGTAAGAAAAAAGATTAGTAATAAACATGTATGGTTTGAGAATAGCTCAACTGGAGCACCTTCTGTTTTTTTCTGTGAATGGGAAAAACTAAGCTAGATGATGGTATAGTGTGTTCCTTAGTAATAAAGATTTTTCCCCATTCAACAGAATTTTGATTTTTTCTTTTTTTGTCAAATATATTCAACAGCCTCATGGGTTTTGTTCACTTATTAAAAAAATTTTGTGACAATTTGTTAATTCACAGTTCCACTGCCATTTTTATTTGTTTTTCTTGGTGGAAAAAAATCTATTTTAAGCTAAGTATTTTATTTATGTAGATTAAATTAAAAATAAATTAATTCTTAAAAAGTTGTTCGTCGATAGCTCAGCTGGTAGAGCAGTAAATTCTTAAATAAATTAAAATATTCTAAAACTAAAATAAATTAATTAACACATTAATCTAAACTAAATAAATACAATAAATGTTTTAATTTATTTTGAAATAATTAAAATATTTAATATAACTCTT